AGCCATCAACTAAATGCCAATCAATCAATGCCTCGTTATACACGTTTGGTATGAATAGATGACGTAAATTTCACAATTTACATAAATTCTTACGTAAATCACATAAAAAAAAACTAAAAACAAAATAAACACAACTTCAAATTTAACTGATTGAAAAGGGCTGCCAGCTTAATTTATAGAGAACAGCGAAAGACTGAAAACAAGAAACTGTTAAAACTATTTGTTTCTATAATAATTCCCTCATCTTGCGGTAAAGAAAAAGCGTAAACGAATTTGCAGCCATTCATTTGAAAGTTTTCTTAGACCTTTTCAGCCAGCGAATCATGATTACACTCTTATTGGTAAAAAGTATTGCTTTAATGGATTATTTCATCCAACTTCATTTTAATAGCCATTTCAACTTTCATGTAACAAATGCGAGCTTAGAAATCGGAAAGGATAACTTTTTAAGCCCCTCCTTTAAAGTACTTTGTAGATGGCTGGGCAGTTTGGCGGCTCCTTGTGCAATGCCCGGATAGCTCAGTCGGTAGAGCATTGGACTTTTAATCCAAGGGTCCAGGGTTCAAGTCCCTGTTCGGGCGATCCAAATTTTTTAATTTTTTTTTAAACCAAAATATTATTGTTATTTCTTTTTTTAAATTAAGTTTTCTGCACTTATTAGGAAATATAAAAATAAACCGGCCACTAATGCCACCCTGCACCGTGCAGTTGGCAACGCGGCTGCCGATCAAGCAGTTTTCATGAACTGCTTGATGTCGATGGAGTGGTGCGCCGATAAAGCAGTTCGCTTGAAATCGAGTCGTAACCGGTGACGTGTGGTCGAGTTTTGGACGCAGGCATTCCGACTGGAAGGTTGGCAGCTTCTGTAATCACGCTTCTGTGAGGTCCGATTGTGGGATGGCCTGAGGCTGGGATCTACTGTGTAACGGACTAGCTCATGTTGACGGAACGTCCGCACTAAGCTTGCCATCAATATGGGTGCCATGGAGGAGTCCGCGGCATTCAGGTTGGCTAAGGAGGGATGAACCGGGCCAGGGGTGAAAACCAGCAGCCAAGAGTTCCCGTGGTAGGCAGTAGTGGGATAGCGTACCGGAGTGAACTGCCGTTATCAGCCCAACCAATATGGTTGGACCACAATCTTTTTGCAACCGCTTAAAAAACTATTTTTTCAAAATGTCTGGAAATTTTTTTCCACACGTATTACAACAATTGCGAAATACTTTTTCGGTGACTCACTTAGTAGTAGTAATAATAATTCTTAGATCGCAATCTTCGAGCCACCATCAGAAAACTAAAAACTACCTATTAATTATTTTTTAGCTATGATAACTATTTTATTTCTCAACTTCTATTCTTAGTACCAGAATATCTAGCTTTCTGATAGGGTACTTATTATTATTTATTATATAATTTACACGAGTTTAATACTTATGTATATAGAATTTCATTATATTTTATCTCCAAATGGTTAAAGACCAAAAGGTTCTCCAATTGCTTCTTAAATTAAATAAAAATGAAGAAGAAACGCTATAGTTTAGTGCCGCGACTGTAAGAAATCCGTTACTGTTTTACACAATTTTAAAGTATTCATTTTGCTAGTGGACCTATTGTCAGAGAAAGCATATTGAGTACCTGATTGTGACGTCACTGCCCATGTGAGGCCTTATAACCTAAATATCTTCCTAAATAGCGAAATAATATTCTGACTTAAAAACTCATTGGTAAAACGATATATATATAAGATATATGTTATGCAAGGTCAAACGAAGACATACTGTAAAATATTTTGGATGGCACAGTTTTCCGCGGCTTGTGGGCGTGGCAGGAAGAACACTAACGTTGAGCTCGTAAATACGTATTTCTAAGCCAAACTTTGTAGCTCTTATAGTTCCCGAGATTTTTGCATTTTTGGGGCATCATAAAACCTACATACTTAATCGGAACTTTCTATCACCTATAGTTACCGAGATATCATCTTTTCTACAAAATGCGAAAACCGTCTTTCGATCTTGGTGGGCGTAAGAGTGCCGGATAATGGTACCACCATAAGATGTGCTGACATCTAAAGAGTTTACATACTTAATCCCATCTTTCTAGCTCTAATATTTCCTAAGATTTCAGTGATTTTAGTTTTCCGTAATTTGTGGGCGTTAGATTCTGCGTAGGGATCTCAAGAATTTGTCTGTTTAAGCTCTATATCTCTAATAGTTCTTGAGAACTCATCGTTCATACGGACGGACGGACAGACGTACATGGCTCAATCGACTTCGCTATTGATACTGATCAAGAATATATGTATATACTTTATAGGGTCGGAGACGCTTCCTTTTACATGTTACTTACATTTCATTTACTCGAGTAACGGGTATAATAACAATACCGTAGACCAAAATAAATTTTGCTTTAGTTATTATTATTTAACGGTTTTTTGTTAGTTTCTGGCTAAAAAGTTTTTTCCAAATTTTTTCTATTTTCCATTCCTTGAAAATGAAATTAAAAAAATAAATTAACCTGTTAAACAATTTTGGGTTGGGTCAACGATGTTCGTTCTGCTATATTTTTTTTTTGAACTAAATTAACTTGATATCCTCTCCAGACATTTATAAATTTGATATTTGTAGCAATTCTTAATAATTTTTGGCAAAACACTAAAAGTGCCACAAACGAAAAAAATAATTATTACCGCCCGAACAGGGACTTGAACCCTGGACCCTTGGATTAAAAGTCCAATGCTCTACCGACTGAGCTATCCGGGCCTTCATGCAGCATCTGTCTTAGAACATCTCGTAAGGAACGTACAGAGTTCCGTTCCTTATCCAAGATCACCACCCAAGGAAAGCAAGAGGGTACAATTTAAAATAGTTTTTATTTTTTATGCCATATTCATACATGTTTACATACTTTTTGTTTTTCTTTATATTTTTATGGTTTTTGTGTTTTCATAGTTGAAGTTTTATCTGTTTTTATTTTCGATTCCATTTTTTGTATAATAATTGCCTTTGCAATCGAACCCAGATTAAGGTAATACATACATGCGAATTTCATTAAAAATTAGTTGCGTAATTTAATTTTTACATGGAATGCAGTTAAACTTCTTGCGCCCACTGTGTCCTGGCGGAAAGTGAGAGCCCCCTTAACCCAAAACTTCGAATGGTTTTTCATTTCAATCGATTGGGAAAATCATTTGATTGCGGTTCCGACAAGTTGCATTAAACAAACGATCGAAAATGTACAAACTAAGATTGAACAAATGTACAAAATGGGAAACAAAAAACGATTAATTAATTTGTGCTAGGTATTTTTTGTTTGATTCTCTCATTTTCCATAGTTTTGTTCGATTTGCCTTGCCTTGCTCATTCTGATTTGTTTTCTCTAAAATTTGTCTTGCTAATTCGATATACATAATTTAGGCTTACGGGCTAGGTTCACGTAGACTACCGATAGTTCTAGAATGCACTAACCTTAGCTTAGCGAAAAGTACAGCATAAATAATTACTTTACATTACGGTTATGGGTTTCCTTTAGCATTAGGCTTTAACAATTCTCGCTTTAATCAAATTTCGTTGGCTTACTGTATCGATTAACTACCGAATTACAAATTTCATTTACAGACATTGTTGAGAGGCCTTGAATAAATAACGTGGAAGGATCGGCTGCTGTTCTAAAGAAAATCCTGATTAACTATAGCAAGTTCTATGCTAAATTTAAAATATTTTACTTCCTGTTTATATTCCGAATTTGTTCTTCAGTGGCATTTAAAAACGATTGATTTTTGATAAAATTAGTAAAGCATTTTCCTCTTCAAAGCTGCTAGAGCACTTTCAACAACACAAACGCAAACATACAAAATAATTTGAATAAAACAGTTTTAGGTTTTTCCGAAATTTTCTCTCCAAGACGAAACACAAACATAAAAAGGCGATTCCCGAGCTGGGCCGCTCTGCTATTTACAAACTAAACAAAGCCTTATGTGGTTAACTAGAGTTAGGTTCTCTACTAGCTAGGAATTAAGTACACTCTTTAGGACTCCCTGGAGGGTGCTGGGTGGGGTTTTGTGGGCGTGGGGGGATCGAGGTTGGGGTACGATACAAACGAAGAACTAATGTTAATTAGAAATCACTTTGAAATTATTGCAGATATTAGTTTTGTTCAACTCGACAGCTCTGTCTGTTCATCTGTGCAGCTTACGGGCTAGAATTATGCTAGGCTTACGAACTAACAGCTTTTCGAATACTGCTTAGAGAAAGAGATTCATCATACTGGAAGGACCCACGGGCACTCGCACGGATAGAAGGTGGTCCATCATATCCTTATGATCCAACGGCAAATCAACATCAGATATTAATGTGAAATCGTTTCACATTGATGTTAAAAATATGATCTTGATATGTTGAATACATTTAGGGAGCAACTCAAGAATGGCTTCATGCAACATTTGAAAACGTCGCCATAGATGAGGGACTGCGATTGCCCGGGGTGCCACCTCCAGTATCATAAACCCAAACGAGCCACGCGGATTTGCGGCTCGTTTCTTAGCTTAACACGAATCAGTTGCAAACAAGAAACATCACTGGATGTTGGTTGATCGACGGGCGGCGACAGGCGGTAGGCGATGGGCGGTATGCGGCAGGCATCTGGGGGCATGGCAGGCTTTGGCAGGCGGACAGAACTCAGCAGCAGAACAAATTGCAGCCGACAATGTCCGCCTTGAACTCCAGCTGCAACTCCGGGTCGGGCTCACAGTCCGACTCTAAGAGCTGCTCCAGGCCCCGATCCTGATTCCGATCGACGGGATCATCCTGCTGGTGGTGCTGCTGTTGCTGCCTGATGATAACCTGAGATCAGAACTCCTGCGGATACTTGATGCAGTCGGGCGCCTGGGAACTGGAGGCGGTGGAGGCGAAGAGGGAGAGTTGGGACCGTTGCCGTTGCTGCCGCCATTGGACAGCGAACCCGGCCCTCCTGCACCACCACCCACCCCACGGAGCCACCACCACCCACTGAGCCACCGTCCTGCGACTGATAGCCACTGGCCGCCGAGGCCGCCGCCGCCGTCTGATATGGTTCCTGATACAACTGATTGAGTCTCTAACCAGTACCCGAAAAGTGCCACGCGTCCTATGCGCTCAGGTGCGCGAACTGTGACGGATGGATATCGAACTGGTGGTAGGGATGGCCATAGGGACCCATGTGGTAGGGCACGATGTTCATCGAGGCCATCTTGTGCTCCTTCTTCCACTTCATGCGCCGGTTCTGGAACCAGATCTTAATCTGCCGCTCCGTGAGGCACAAGGCGTGGGCGATCTCGATCCTGCGGCGGCGGGTCAGGTAGCGGTTGAAGTGGAACTCCTTCTCCAGCTCCAGCGTCTGGTAGCGGGTGTATGAGGTCCGTTGTCGTTTCGTCTCGCCATTGGCATTCACAGTACCTGGAGGGAAAAGTGACAAAAACTTGCATTAGTTGTGTTGGAAAATGGGAATGTTAAAGTTAAATATAAATTAAATGTTAAAACGAGAAAGTTTTAAAAACACAAAATTACGAATTAGATTAAAGGAACATATTCTAATAACTACAACTTCTCAGTGAGTAAGGAGATGATAAATCGGTTTAACTAAGAAAGATAAAGACCTTTGAATTCTACTACTTATTCCCAAAATGCTCTTTCCATACTTCAGCCAAAATATGATTTATTTCTACCGAAAACTATTTGAGGGCGTTCCTAGGCAATCGTCAAACGTTCAAGTGGACAACACCACCGGATCCCCAATCCTTCCAGCTTTCCCACCGCTCCGAGGCAGTTAATTTTCTCTCATTTATATTGTGATTTTCTGCAACGTTGCGCATTTCATAAATATGACGTGTCAAACTGCCATTTCGTGGCACCCGAAAAGTTCATACTGTGCATTGTGTTCTGGCAAGTAAAAGGGAAGGGAAAGGGCTGCGAGAGGTTTGGCGAAGGTATCTTGCCCCAGACAGATGTTTGTCGCTAGCCGAAAACTTGTATCCTTGTATCGGCAATCGTCGGCAGATAATGACAATTTCCCGTTCTTGGCAAGTCGCCCCCGAAAACTATTCTGTCATCTGTATCGGGTTTTTCGGCGTTTTCATTTGATTTCACTTGAGGTAAGCCATTGGCGTGATATGTGTTCAGCGTTCCTCCTTTGTTATAATGAGTGGGGCGCGGTGCAAAAGTAGACTTTTAAAAGCCACTGTCGCCGTGTAGTTACTGGCCAACTCAATTGGTCCGCCCGTTTTCTAGGGCTTTCCCAATACGCGGCAAAGAGTTGAGGGGAGGTTGAGGAGGTTGAGCCCTGGGCCATAGACACTGTATCTGTACATCTCTAAATATATCTGTTAGAATGTGGGTAATAAATAATGTGATAGATTTAAACCGCTGATTCGCTAGTGTCCTCTCTGTGAGTTTTTGGGCGGATTGTTGGTCTGATTGACTCCAGGCCTTACCCGCCTTGGAGTGCATAATGCGGCCCATTTGGCTAAATGGGAAATAGTTTGTTGGCCTTCTTGAGAATCAGTGGAGATTACATTTTAAGAGTGTTAGTATGCTTATATCTCTGGTTCTAAGTCATGAACGACATTCTTCTTGCTTTAATTTAGTTCACTTTTTATTTATTTCAAATTTGATCAATCCAAAAACACAAGTAAGCATTCTTCTATATAAATTGTAATATTCTTCTAGGTCGTTGATTTAATTTAATCCCGTCTCGGCCTTGGCCACCCAAAATACACCTCAGCTCATGGCCCGCTTTGAGCAGAAACAGAAAACAAATACTCGCCCACACACTGCTTCCACAAGCTGCTGCCGGCGCTGCTTCCGGGAGTTTAGTGGGTCTCGATGCGATACAGAGTCGTCACATCAATCAGCGGCCAAATGAATTTCGATTAAAGTTGAAATTAATCACCCATTTATAAGGCGAGTTTCAGCGTTGACTGTGGCCAGGGATCATTTAGAGAAAGAGAGGAAGAGAGAGCGAAAGCGTCAGACATCAAAGCTGGGTACTTCTGGCTGGCTGCCATCCTGAGTCAATGGTGTCCACTTGTGACTAAGTAAAACAGTAGCAGACAGTAACCAGACAACGGTCGGCTCCATTAATATGCGATCAGCTGGCACGGAGAGGGACTGGGAGCTAACTGTTGGCTAAATTGGAAGTGCACTAGTCTTGACCATTTCTTTGAAACAGGTTCAGGGCTGCAATCGTCAGTCAGGCCATCGACGAATATGCAAGTGTAATTTGCTAGCCATTAGGGCGGAAACTTTGCCCAAAACTTGCAGCCTGACTGATGCATGATGTGCAGACATTTTGAGGCTTTACTATTTGATGCTGGGATCCTTGACTCCTTGCCCAGGTGTCCACAATCACCTCTCCTCAAGGGTCAGCAGACACTTTTTAGAAATATCTTTCATGTCTGCCTGTAGGGAGATAACAATAAAGTACAGCGCCAAGAACAGACTTGTTCGCCGCCGACCATTTGCTGTTTTCTGTCAAATGCTGCTGTCATGTTGTAATTTGTTTACACCACTCAGGCCGAATGCTGCTGAGCGGAGGGAAAGCGGCGGAGGCAGCATTGCGAAATGTATCTGCATGGATGCGCAGACCAGAGCTTAGGGCGCCCATGAGAGGACTCGGAAACAAGAAGTCAAGCGGATTAAGGAATTGAAAAGGGTGTTAATTTAGATTTTCTCAGTTACTTTGCAGAATCAATTTCCAATGAAATCTAAAACCATCTGCCCCATCTCTCATTATGTCTAAATCAGCCCCATCATGAGGGCCTCTGCCCCTGTCTGGGATTCATCACAGGCATCATCAGCCACCACCCCACTCGATTCTGTTTGATTTGACTAAAGATCACCATGCCACACATCCGCAACCGTTGAGTTCCCAGCCGAGTGTCAACACTATGGCCTCCCATCTCCTGCTCTTCAGCTTATATTTTTTCTTTTATTTTTTAAGTTAACTACATGCGAAGAGAGTAAGTAGCGCATCGTCGTCATGGAAGCAGCAATATCTGGGCGCGAAAGCCCCAATGAGCTGATAGGGCAGAGCACCATCCAAAGAGCCATAGCATTCGAATCCGAATCCGATCCAACGGCACCCTGGCATGCTGGTATCACCAGCTTATAATAGGGGTAAAGGGGGGGTGGACAGAGTTGACAGCGCCAATGGAGCGAACATTCAGCGTTTACAAGTTTGTTCCATCGCTCAATGGATGGATGGCAGGCTGGTTCGATTGATTGGTTTGGCTGCCAGCCCTCAAGATCGCTCGCTTTGAAGTCTGTGTTCCGCATTTGTGAAATACTTATATATAGATATATTGGATTTGGCCAAGCACGAGTATATGACACATTTTGAGACAGAATGCCAAAAGTATAAAGAATGTGCTTTAGGTGTGACTTCAAAATTTTTGGGGAAAATATTAGTTTCATAAAAAATTAAGCAGCTTCACCCAAATCAAACTGGTTAAAATGAATAGAATTATTACAGTCGAGTTTCAATAAACAACAACATCCACACTCGGTCTTTTCCATTGTTGACCATTTATCAAGTAATTTTCGCAAGATGATTACAAGTGTACTTTCCACAAGAGAGCCCTTTCGACAGCTGCAATACACAGTTGAAATTTGGAATTTTGCATCCCATTTCGCCTCATCACAAAATCTGTTTCAGAATTTATTATGATTGATCGGAGCTGGGAGCCTTTCGATCTCAGTGTCAGTGGGTCTCGGAATAATTCAACTGCCATTGTCTGGCCGGACTCTTGTTCCTGATGTTTCGGGCTTGTGCGTTCCTTACATTCCTCATCCTCGGGTCCTTTCCGCAGGATTGACATGAGATTAGCATACAGCTCAGACTGCCACAGGTTCCAAAAAGTTGTCATGAAAACCTTATGAATGGATACCAGCATTTTGGGCCGAAGCGACTTGCTTTCTGCTTGGCGGCAAAGGAAATGAAAATACGACAACATTTGGTAATAGTCGCAAAAACACTCGTACTGGTCATTACTGTAAGGGCGGTCTTGGCGTCTGGTCAGGCAAAAAAATATTTAAAAACAACAACCGAACATCGTCATCGTAATCAGCACGTGTGTGGCACTCCAAGATCCGGCAATTGGCCCGATGGCGGCGAGGGGCGTAGCTCCATCATCGGCAAAAAGTAATCATGATTCATCATGCAAACAACTTTGAATCCATATACGAACTGTAAAGCTTTATTAATCAGAGAAAGCGCTGACAATTTGAGGCTGGGAAACGATGAGCAAGGTTTCATGGCTGATGAGAACTTCACATCGTTTTGAGATAGACATCGATCCAGATTCAAAACTGACTGAAATTTCTCCTCGTGTTGATCTGCTGGAGCCGTTGATGTTCACAAAACTTCATAACTCAACGCACGATCATCGTGGTGCTGTCGTATTACTAAGAGCCCAAAGAGAGTCGTTTAACTAAAACTATTATCAATGCTACCATTCCTAGCGGAAAATAATGCTACAGGCTGAGTCAGAGATAGAGGAATTTTGTCATAAATTGAATCAATTAAAGACAAGCCAACAAGTGCTCTTGGCCAAGACGCCTAATCAAGGAATCTTTGAGCAGTTTTCTGGTGGCCTCTGAAACTCCAAATACGCCCTCAAAAATATGAGCCTTCAAACTCGAACAGTTCCAGAAAATAAACTCAATGGGAGAAGAGAGGTGCCACGCTTGAGGACTGCTGAAAGAGATAAATCTTGGACTGGACTGATTGACGACTAGATATATAGAATGCAGGAGTCAAAGGGCCGTCGCGGGGTCACAGGATATGTGCAGCGCGCGGGTTAATTCTTTCGAAAAAGAAAATTGAATCAACATGCGTCGCCGCAGCTATCTGAGAATGGTCTGGCCTCTATTGCAGGCAGCATTTTCCTTCCCGTGCGCTGTACTTCCCGTGAAATGATGCCGCCCCGGCTCTGACCGTGTGTTTTTGTTATTTTTAGGGGCAAGGACAAATGATTTATATTTGTGATAATGAGTGCAAGCCGCTGGCCTCCACCCACTTGTGCAACCACTTCAGCACGCTGGAATGCGCTGGGGTCCACCGATGTCCGAAGAATAACCGTAGCCAGAACTACTGTCTGCCTCCTTGTTCATATTTATCACACTGTTTGCCAGAGGGCTGAGGAATTCAAAAAAAAGGAGCAGGAACAGCCACTGAGCTTGATCATTAATCACAATTCAAATAATAGAAGCGATGAGTCACAGGATGGTGGTCAGAAAATGGCAAGAATACTGGAAAACACTCCAAGAAATGGATGCAGCTGGGATGGGGCTGGGTGAAACTTCTTTTATTGTTTTTTTGTTTCTCTGTTTTGTAGGTGAATTCAGTGGCCTGCTCCGCTTCACCCATCTACTTTCACCCACCTACCCCCTTTCAGGTTTTTGGCATTCGGCGTGGCTGCCTTTGGGTTTGGTTTCCGTGAAATGTGGAAATTATGCTGTAAGAAGTAAATTGATTATTTCTTGCTTAAAGCATTTTTCAATTTATATTCCGTGTTTGTTGTCAACACGAACATGACATTCAGTTTCGTCACTCCGACAGCCTCCGACAGCCGAGGGGCTGAGCTTGAGAGCCGCCACAATGCCCAGAATTTCATTCCCCAGCCTTCTCGCAAGTTTTCACCTACCAAGGCACTGAGGAAATGACATGTGGCAAACTTCAAAGCCCAGTAGACTTTTCGGCAAACAGCTGATGCGGCTCGCGGCAAATCAGAACGATCTGAACCTGAAGGTTTGGCTGGCGATGGAAGACCGTCGTCCACGGAGGCATTGGTTTCCGCAAATACTTTGGTTGAAAAGCAAGATTGAACTAAGATGAGAACCATTATAGATAAGTCACTTATGTTTGTTATTAAGATTTTAAGAAATTAACTAAATATCTGGGATTAAAAAAATGAAAGAAAATGTATAATTAAGGAGAGAGAACTCAATTCAATCGATTTAGGTCGGATTCCTTTTCATTAATGTTTTAAAAAGTAAAAACGTTTCTCAGCTCATTACAGTGTTTGATAACCTTTTTAAAAACTAATGAAATTATTACCTTTTTGATAACTAACTAGCAGTCATGCGCTATTGACTGAACTGGTTTAAGAGAGCAGTTATTCTTCATCCTCAAAAAAAGCTAATACTGAAATTTCAAAATGAAACATCAAATTATAAATCGATACTGATTTTGCCAAACGTGGAGTTTAGCCAGCGGCAGCGACCTTTAACTTCCCAAACTGTAACTGCTTTTTATTGTATTCTCCTCCACTGAATCGTGGTACTCACTTCAGCCACATTGAGCCGCCTGTAAATCAAGCTGACACATCAGACTTAAGCCAGGGATTAAGCGCAAGTCAGCCCTGGAGACAATGTGGATCTCCATCTCAACCCCCTTCTCTTCACTGACCCGCCCCTTGAAAGACTGTTTCATTCCTGAAACAGAGCAATCAACCTTGAGAGCTTTGGTAATTAATGAATTGAAACAGTTGCCCACCCCACCTGCACCTCGAACCATCCTTCGAATCCTCCAGCCGGGCATAATGAGCTGGTAAACAAATTGCGCGCTTTTGAATATATTGTGTTGAAAATATAATAAATGAATTATTATGTAATTAATGAGCTTAATTAATGGCGACGCAGGTCCCAGGTCCGGGCAGGCACTGACCCAGCCTGCCGAGAGGAACCAGCCAGCCGGACCGAGGCTATCGTACATGTATCTCTTTTAGATACACCTTTTAATGACTTTTGTAAATTATTTATATATGCATTTTTGCCCGATACTATCGTTTATCTCTTGATTTGAAAGAGTTCCTTCTCCATGCAGAAGAGGCAGCAGTGGAGGCGCTGAACTATGCATAATTGATATAGGTCCATAAACAGACACTAGTTAATTCATAAAATTCATAGATTATCGTATGTACTACAAATTGAACAGAAAGTGGCAGCAGGAAAACCGCCTTCTCACCCAGAGACTGGAAAATATGGAATTGAACTGCAGCT